TTCCACACAAAGACAGGTGTTTAGGTTATTTGTAACATATTAAATTCTGGATATCCAGAGCACCCTTTGCCAAGATAATTGTAGGTGAACAGGTCCCCTCTCAGCGTTTCTCTGATTCTGACCTTCCTCAGAGCTTGACATGGCCTGCGCCGCCCTCTCACGCAGGGTTTACAGGCTCCCCTGGGGTTTTCTTCTCATCCGCTTCCTGTAGTAGTGCCTTTGGTCCCTGTAGTGCCAGGTGCAGCCTCGGGATATAGAAGATAGCCAGTAAACACGTAGAAAGTGCGTGCCTTACGTTAGGGAGATCTCAGATTCTAAACCGAGTCCAGCTGGAGTTCTCTGTAAAGGCATGTATTCAAGGAGGCTCCATCCTGTAATTCTGATCTGGTAAATGATTTCTGAATCGATCGGAATGGAAAACTCAATACTCAGGGCAGGCCTTAATGTGAGCACTCGCTGTAAAGGCCTGAACAGCATGTGTCCAATCACTGGCTGAATAGGTGGCTACATGAGCCCACCCATGATGTTTCAGGAGATTTGTTCTGGTTTTCCACTTCTGTAAAAATGACAACCAAGAAAAGCCTATGGAATGCAGTGCTCCATAACAAATGGAGTCGCCGGGAGTTGAGAATGATTCGATGGCAATAGGTTTGGTTTGCTTTGGATCCAGAGTAAGCACTGAGTTAAGTCAGTGATATAAAAATGATACCATCTGCTCCCATAAAGATCTACAGGCTCAGAAATGTAATAGTGGGGTGGCATGAGTCAGAATCAACTTGATGGCCAGGCATTGAGGGTCAGGCTTGAGGCATATAACATCCACTTCTTAGTGTGAGCACTTACAAATATATGGGATGTTTATGCTACCTGTGTCTAGAGAACTCGGCTCTCTCAGATGAGTGAGTCTCCACCTGCATCCTGCCCCTCAGCAGCGGGCCACCCAGGATACTCATAATTGCAGGGGTCTTCTTACTCTAACTTTGCCATACTCATAATTGCAGGGGTCTTCTTACTCTAACTTTGCCAGACTCCATACTCAGATCACACAGCTGAAAAGGACCCTTGCTCTAGTTGCACTTGTCACTGGTGGTCCTGTACCTCCTTACATTAAATCCTTGACTTTATTTTCATGATGGTGAAGAGATGTGGTTCTATTTTGGGTTTTTAATGGAAAGTTGTTTTGTTTTTTCTACTAGCCATTTCTCAACTCTTTCTGTCCCACTGAGCACCTTGGACAAAAATCTTGATTCATAAAAAACATAGTTATTATATGTTTGCTAATAAATAAATACTAGCTTACCCCAAATAATTGGGAATATGTTTTAACCTTGGGTTTGCTGTAAAAAGATAGCATGCATGTTTGGTTATCGATATCCAGCCATTTGTAGTCAAAGGAAATGAAGTAGATTGAGGTCAAGATTTGAGTGTTTTGCTTTGTTCTCCTCTCTTGTCTCTGTACAATCAGCCATCATTTAAAAATGCATTTTGGGGTGGTAACCATACTAACCAGGTCTTTGATAAATAAATCTTCCAGAACCCGAGCGTCGTGCTTCCAAACTGCTGTGGATGACCCTGGCCCTCGGAACCACCCTGTCAAGTAAGATGTCACTGAGGTCCCTCAAATGGAGCCTTCTGCTGCTGTCACTCCTGAGTTTCCTCGTGATGTGGTACCTCAGCCTCCCCCACTACAATGTGATCGAACGTGTAAACTTCATGTACTTCTA